CGATTGAGTTCATTGTTGCTCCATTACTATGAATATGACTCCAGGGTAGAAAGATATTTCATTATGTTGACTCTCCCACTCAGCTGGCATGCCCACACCACTCTTTTAAGTGTCATTTGCCTAATCATTGCTTTGACATCTTAGAAATTATGCATCACTCTATTTGTTAACATCACTTAAGGAAAAGTTAATTTGTTCTATTCAAAATTCTCACTTGTTGGTTTGAATTTTTTCATAGTAAGCCCTAACATTTTCCTCTTTATCTTTGCTATCACTTTAAATATTATTTTTAAACTGGATTTTTTAATGCCTCTGAATTTAATATTTCAAAGATTGAAAATGTCCCTAGGTGCTAGATTAGATCTGAAAATAAAGTTAGAGTGACATCTAGTGGATCTTCTGACTAACTAAACAATCATTAAAGTAATTGTAGACAAATTGTAGGTTTGCAAGGTCATTTAGTCTTAGAAGATCTCAGAACCATCCTAAATAGACAAAAATTGACCTTATTTAAAGTTTGCACAATCTCTCTAGCAACCTCTCAGATGGGAAAAGAATAATCCTTAGTGTGCCTCCTTCTTAAGATTGAGGAAAACTTTCCCCGAGGTCCTTCCCCCGCCTCTAAATGCCAAGAAGCCTTCCTGAAAACAGCCGTGTGGAAGAAGGCTGAAAGCACACAGATTAGTTTAAAATGATCCGGATCCACCAGCTGGGGCAGCCCCTGATGCAACGTGATTGTTCTGTAGAATGCTGTGTTGAATTCGCAAACAAAACTGGGATCTGTGAGAAAGTAGGAAGGCGAAATAGATGTTGGCTCTGCGATTTACAGCCTCTGCTTCACCGACTACCATAAGGGTTCTCCCCAAACTATCAAAGCACAGTCAATTTAAATAGTTTGGGAATGATCAAAATGTTGCGTGTCTTGAGGCGATAGTTTCACAGGTGTATATATCTGTCAAAATTCATCAAATGCTACACTTTATTTATGTTTTTACTTGATTTCAGAGAGAGGAAGGGAGAGAGAGAGAGAGAAGCATGGATGTGAGAAACAGCAATCGGTTGCCTCCCAAATAAACCCCAACCAGGGACTGAACACATAACCTGGGTATGTGCCCTGACCGGGAATCGAACCTACCACCTTTTGGTGTATGGGATAATGCGCCAACCAACTGAACCACACTGACCAGGGCTCAATGGTACATTTTAAATGATGCACTTTATTGAGTGGAAGTTATATCTCAATAAAGTTAGGGGTTTTTTTAAAAAAAAATTAAGGACTCCATTGATGGATGAATAGATAAACAAAATGAGGTCTATATATACAATAGCATGTTATTCAGCCTTAAAAAGAAAGGCAATTCTGACACATGCTACAACATGGATGAACCTTGGGGACATTATGCTAAGTGAAATAAGCCAGTCACAGAAAGACAAATGATTCCACTTACATTAGGTACCTAGAATAATCATATTCATAGAAACAGAAAGTAGAATAGTGGTTGTCAGGGGTTGGGGAATTAGTGTTTAATGGGTACAGAGTTTCAGTTTGGGAAAATGAAAAAGTTATGGAAATGGATGCTGGTGATGGTTATAAAACAATGTAAATGCCACTGAACTGTGCACTTAAAAATGTCAACATGGTAAATTTTATGTAATGTATATTTAACCAAAATAAAAAAGGTTTAAAAAGTGCTTGCAAAAGGTAAAGAAACACTTAAACTATGACATTATAATTAATCAGTTTATTATTCATCACTTCACAAAAGTGGCAGATGCATAAAGAATCAAATAATAATACCCGATAGCATATACTAAATATTAGATGCCTGGCAGAAGTTATTACTGTTACAGGGATTATTAAATTATTAAAAAGCTGGTAGAGCCCAGCCGGTGTGGCTCAGCAGTTGAGCATTAACTTATGACCCAGGAGATCAAGGCACATGACAGGGCACAAGCCTGGGTTGTGCGCTCGATCCCCAGGTGGGAGTGTGCAGGAGGCAGCTGATCAATGACTCATCATTGATGTTTCAACTCTCTCNGGCTCGATCCCCAGGTGGGAGTGTGCAGGAGGCAGCTGATCAATGACTCTCTCATCATTGATGTTTCAACTCTCTCTCTCTCCCTCTCCCTTCCTCTCTCTGAAATCAACAAAGATAAATTTTGAAAAAAAACTGCTGGAAAAACTTATTTTATTTTCTAGATGAGAAGTAAAAGATCTTAATAAGAATATAGCTCATTAGAAGCCGCAGTATTACCCTTAAACAATAGTTGGTTATAATAAAGAGTGTAAGTTTTCTTTCCTTTGGAAGAAACAGAGTTGGCTCCAAATCACTAGCAACAATGCTGACTGGCCTCACTGAGAGAAACACGGAGAGACAAGAAAAGGCAATCTGCCTTTATTTTATTAGCTATTTGGCCAAATCTCCTTTTTCTATCTCTTTCCATTCTTCTGTAAAGTGTTTATCCTCAAAACAAACAAACTTAAAAACTCATATTGTTAAAGACTCAACTCAGAGGAACTTTCTAGGTAGACAGAAATGCTCTACATCTTGATTGGAGTGCCAGTGTACACATTTCTCAAAAGTCATCAGTCTGTGCACTTAAAATGAATGAACTGTATTGTAAGTGAAGGGATTTAATAAATGTTTTTGTACTAAGATTAAGTTCTATTCTTTGATTTTATAGAGTTAGTTTTTTTTAAGTTAGAAAAAAAACCCTTGCGATAATTTCTGTATCTATCATTTGACAAATGAAAATGCTAATACCCAAGGTGGTATAGATGGTGCCAAAGCTCAGACTAGATCTGAATTCCTTATTCCTGAATCAACTGACTGTTCTTCACTGCATCCCCATAAAGGCCAGCCATTTGGATTGATAACACTAAGGACACTGGTTCCTTGAGGGCAGAAATGAGCTTCTTTGTATCTCCCGCAATGCCCAGCACAGGGCCTGGTCCAGAGCAGGAGCCCAGTGAAGGGAGACGAATAACAACCCTGGATCCAGCCATGGACTCTTACTAAAGAGCTCTTGGTGAGTTGGGTGCCAGCCCCCTATTGTCCACTGCGCTGTGGCCTCCCTGGCCAAGAGTCCCACAGGCTTAGGGGCTCGCCTCACACTGTCCCCGTGGCTCCCTCGGTCCAGTCCTACAGGTGTCTGCTCAGTGCCGCTGTACCAGTGAGGCCTTCCCAGCCCACACTGCCTGACCTGGCTCTGCTCCTAACACCGCTCCCTCCCTGGCACGTTTGAACGTGGCCCTGGGCACTGCTCAGCTGCCTCCCAAGGATGTCAGCTCCACAAGGGTAGGGACTCCCATCTGGTGCACGCCTGTACTTCAGCACCTATGGGAGGCAGATGCTCTATGAATATCTGTGAAGTGACCAAATGAATGATAAAGGAACTCCGAACCCCTTCATCTCTAAATTCTTTATTTTAAAAGTTAAGATGCTCTTTTTAATTCAAAATTTAAAAAAACCATGAAGTATAATGGCAAGACACTCAGGACGCAGACTTTTATAATGAAATTAGGCCACACAACTTGCATACATATATATAGGTTTATATAGTTTTATACTGTTGTAAGCAACAGAATATTTTAAAGACTTAAAAAAGAAAAGGGAACTTTCTTAGTTCCTAGAGTCCAGTGTACAGATACAAACGTGAGACACCAGTGAAAATCACGGGTTAGGTAAGTGACGTATTTTAGTCCGGTTATGGGCTGCGGGTCTGGGGGAGGCGCCGCAGGCTGCAGGCGCGTCGGGGCGCCCGCCCTGGTTCCTCCCCCCGACCCGGGCGGGAGTCACCGCCCATCCGACAGGTTCCCCATCGGCGGGGACGCCGGAGCCACCGGAGCCGCGGAGAGCCACCCGGAG